CCTTTCCCCAAAATGGGGATCCCAAATTTCCACCTCAAGGCTCTCCAAAATAAAGACACAGCAGAACTCCAGAATTAAAAAAAAAACAGGGAAAAAGAGGGAAAAAAAGGGAAAAAAAGGGAAAAAAGGGAAAAGGGGGAAAAGGAAAAAAAGGGAGGAGAAGGGGAAAAAAAAGGGGGGAAAAAAGTTGAAAAAGGGGAAAAAAAATTTAAAAAAAGGAAAATAAAAGGGAATAAAAGGGAATAAAAGGGAATAAAAGGGAATAAAAGGGAATAAAAGGGAATAAAAGGGAATAAAAGGTCACTGCTCCCCTCCACTGAAGATTCCCAGAATTCCAGGAATATTCCAGAAAAATTTCAGGAAAATCTCAGGAAAATTCCAAGAAAATTCCAAGAAAATACCGGGAAAATCTCAGGAAAATGCCAGGAAAAATCCAGGAAAATTCCAGGAAAAACCCCAGGAAAAATCCCAGGAAAATTCCAGAAAAATCCGTGAAAATTCCAAGAAAATTCCAAGAAAACCCCAGGGAAATTCTAGGAAAATTCCAGAAAAATCCAGGAAAAAGCCAAGAAAACACCAGGAAAATCCGAGGAAAATTCCAGAAAATCCCAGGAAAATCCAGAAAACTCCCAGGAAAATTCCAAGAAAACTCCGCGAAAATTTCAGGAAAATCCCATGAAAAATCCCAGGAAAAATTCAGGAAAATTCCAGAAAAATGCCAGGAAAATCGAAGTAAAACTCCAGGAAAATCCCAGAAATATCCAGGAAAATTCCAAGAAAATTCCAAGAAAATCCCAGGAAAACTCCAGGAAAATTCCAAGAAAATTCCAGGAAAAATCCAGAAAAATTCCAGGAAAATCCCAAGAAAATCCCAGGGAAAATTCAGGGAAAATCCCGGGAAAATTTCAGGAAAATCCCAAGAAAAATCCAGGGAAATCCCAGAAAAATCCCAGGAAAATTCCAAGTAAATTCTGGGAAAATCCCAGGAAAAACCCAGAAAAATCCAGGGAAATTCCTAGAAAATTCCAAGAAAGAAAATTTCAGGAAAATCCCATNATTGTGTGGCTTCACACACGACCTGCATGATAAAGTGCCTTTCAGACTGGGGGGAAAATAGAAATAAAAAGGAAATTATAAAGGGGTTTTTTAATAAAAAAAGGGGTTTTGGGGGTTTTTTTTGGGTTTTCTTACAAGATGGGAATGGGATTTAATGGGGTGAGGGGAGAAGTGGCTGATGGGAATGAGGATTATAGAGAAAATGGGAGTGATTCTACTCAAAAATGGGAATAATTCTACTTAAAAATGGGAATAATTCTACTTAAAAATGGGAATATTTAGAGTTAAAAATGGGAATAATTCTACTCAAAAATGGGAATATTTCCACTCAAAAATGGGAATATTTCGAGTTAAAAATAGGAATATTTCCACTAAAAAATGGGAATATTTCCACTAAAAAATGGGAATAATTCTACTTAAAAATGGGAATAATTCTACTCAAAAATGGGAATATTTAGAGTTAAAAATGGGAATATTTAGAGTTAAAAATGGGAATATTTCTACTCAAATATGAGAATATTTCTACTCAAAATGGGAATATTTCTTCTTAAAATGAGAATATTTCTACTCAAAAATCGGAATATTTCTTCTTCCCAAAATGGGAATATTTCTACTCAAAAATGGGAATAATTCTACTTAAAATGGGAATAATTCTACTCAAAAATGGGAATATTTCCACTCAAAAATGGGAATATTTCCACTCAAAAATGGGATTAATTCTACTAAAAATGGGAATATTTCCTGTCCAAAAATGGGAATGTTTCTACTAAAAAATGGGAATTGTTTCTTCTCCAAATGGGAATATTTCTTCACAAAATGGGAATTGTTTCCTGTCCAAAATGGGAATATTTCTATTTAAAAATGGGAATATTTCCTGTCCAAAATCGGAATATTTCCACTCAAAAATGGGAATATTTCCTTCCCAAAATGGGAATATTTCCCTCTCAAAACCAGGAATATTTTTCTCCCAAAATGGGAATATTTCCATCCCAAAACGGGAATTTTTTTTTCTTTCTTCTCCCAAAATGCAAATTTTTCCTTTCCCCAAAATGGGGATCCCAAATTTCCACCTCAAGGCTCTCCAAAATAAAGACACAGCAGAACTCCAGAATTAAAAAAAAAACAGGGAAAA